TGTGTGTGTGTGTGTGTGTGTGTGTGTGTGTGTGTGTGTATACAAGCACTCATGATGAAATATTGATATACATATCTATACATATGAAGGTAAGCATGACACCCCTAGCGCAATTCTATTCACTCCCATCCGCCAGCTTGATGGGCAGTGTATTTCAGTTGGTCTCTACCTAGCTTTCATCGGTTTGCACTCGTCTGTGCGATATGACCCGATTAGTCAGTCCAGGTTGAGCTGTTACGAATCTCTGGGGGTTTACGTAGTTCATTGGTGGTGTGACATAGGCAGCGCTAAGGTGTCTCGCGTGATCGTTGATATCTATCTACAATGCTGGAACTGCAAAGGGGGAGACTGTCTCCCAAAGTATCTCTAGTTACGTACGGCAAGCAATTAGTCAGACGGCCGTTCCGACGAACTGACAGATCCAGAGTCGAGGGCGCATAAGATATAAATGAGATCTGAGATCTACTCAGGTATCACAGATGATCGTGTTTATATTCAGTACAGAGATTCCAAGACATGTTGCTCATCGATACAGGGAACGGACTCACCGCGCGTGACGTTGGGAGAGTGGCAAACTGTTATTAGTCCGCTTTTTCTTGGAATGACATTTAGACCGCGCTTGTCAGATAAACGATGTTGTGGTGTACGCCCGCACTGGTATGTATCGCATTTCGCCTTAGTCCCACCAGGCACATATAGGGCCGTGGCAGTGCATAGGGCCTTCTTCCACCATTGTTTCCAGGCACAGCGCAATACCCGCCATCTGCCTGGTGTCCTTAGTTGTGAGACCGGACTGTCGCATGTGGTGCGGAACACCTGCTTATTCCTTTACTGCCTATGAGCTGAGCTGATTGGGCTCTGTAAGGTCGCCCAACCATCGGATACGAACTAAATCGATCGAAGTTGGCGCTCGTGTGGTATGCCGCTCGGGCAGTGCAGGGTATTGATGGCGGGGATTGAATCTGGGTGTGGGTGTAGGCTCGGTCCGATGTGGGGTTACCTTCCGCATGGCGAATAGGCTTCTCAACACTCGTGTTCTATTCTTGATCACGTGGTGTAGTCTTCACAGTATCGAAGGCCATCGCTTGGTTGGCTGTCGCCTGAAGGTCAGTCGGCGGGTGGTTGTATAATTGTTGATACTTGTTATTTAGATGCTCGCTTCTCTCTATACATTGGTTTATTTGGATACTTGAGAGAGGGGGGATAAGGTAACCCCCTCTCGGGTGCAGGAGGGGCGTGGACATGAGAACTCACCGACAACATACAAATCTTGAATATGACACACTACGCGTGGCTATAAGATCGAAGGCTCGATTGCTTTCCCAGCGGTGAAGGCCTATATTTTATACCGGCACTCTTCGAAAACTAGTCTACTTTGTTTTTTAAGTATTACTCCGGTCTCCAGGGTTCCCTCGACTATGTCGGGGGTCACCCCGTAGAAAGCACTCGCCCACTCCCTCACAAGTATTCGCCGTCGTGTACGCGATGGCCATCGCACTCGCAGTCAGACAGCACTGTCGAGCCGATAGGCAAACTACGCTGATATGCGCGAAACTGCGGCAAAGCCATGGAGTGTCTCGCTGGGATTCAGAGCACCACTACACCCCGGGCAAAAGTCGCTATGCATCGTACTTGTAGACTGATTCTTTACCGGAACTTTGATTTGAATATATCGTTGATATGGCATGATGGCAGATCGTAACCACTTTCATACTAGAGCAGCAGTTTATTTCTTAGACCTTAGGACACACTTGAAAAAGCCAAGGTGTGATACCGTAGTAAAACCGTTTTCTGTACCAGAGCAGCAGTTCATTTCATAGACCTCATGAACATACTTGAAATAGCCAAGACATGATACCGTATAATAACCATTTTCTGTCTCAGAGCAGCAGTTTACTTCACAGACCT